CCCTGCACTTTTTATGTTAAGTGCCAAGTAAACGACCAGTGTCCATCTGCAGACAGTCTCCTGTGACTGTGCACGTACAAAGAAATTTTTCATTGTACAGACATAAACTCATAAGATTGAATTTCGGAGAACGAACTTTTCCAATTTTATGACAACTGAAACATCGCGATAACAATACTTTGAAAAGGTATGTTTGTCTTTTCTGATTTATTTAAATTATTTTTTAAAACCTGTTTCAGCTTTGCAACCTACCTCAGCTTTGTGGATTGTTCTTCTGTACGTTTCCAGGTCATCGAAGGCGATTTTGTATCCTGGGTTATGGAATTCCCGCTCAAAGGCCAAGATATGCTCACTCTGGTTATTGGATGGCTGTCTTATCAGATGATGGAGTGAGATAAATCTCAGTTTAGGATCCATCTTGGTTTCTTTGGAGCTTCCTGCCTTCAGGATTCTCCCTGAGTGCCCAGGAATGGGGAAATCCTGCTGCTCTATCATGTTGTTATACACGCGTATGGCTGGTATGCTTAGACGAAGCATGTAATCTAAACAATGAAATGAACAAGAAGTTTCGTCACCCACATTAATTTATTAACACTTTTTAATATTAATACGAGCGATTCACAACAGTGCGCCTCTGAGATTCTGCAACGCTTTGACCAATCAGAGTGCGTGAAGCCTGTCGACCCTTTCCAAACGCGCATTAGCTTGGCAGATTTCAAGCACTGTGATTGGTCAAAGCGTTGCAAACTCTTGAAGGCGCACTATTGTGAATCGCCCGTATTCAAATAATATCAATATCAATTCAAAAAGGGGGATATCTCACCCGCAACAACATCGACGGCCTTGTTGGACGGTCCACAGTAGAGAACCTGGGGTGGTCCCCTGCCCAAATCGGGCAAGTGCTTGTTCACTTCCACAAAGAAGTAGGTGAGATGGGCACCAGTCACCGTCTTGCCCGTACCTACAAAGTCATTAAGTAGATACCACAACTGAACCTTATAGGCGCATTCTGAAGTTCGTACTAACCTTTGGAGATTCCATCTTAGATTGCAAACACTGAAACCAGTTACAAGAAACAATATTTAGGTTACCAATAACAGTTATAAGAAGCTTGCACAGTCCTGTTCATCAGTTTGGGCTCTTAGCGCTAATCATTGTTACCAGCGCTCGTTGGACCAGCAGACCATCTCAGACTCAAACTATCTCAGGTCGCAGGGGAACACTGTTTAGTGATGCAGAGTCAGATGAAAATGGCCAATCTTGTCAGCTCAATAGGAGTAGGGAGCGTAGCGACCCGACGTGGGTGTGTGTGTGTGGGGGGGGTGCAGCACCCCCTCGTGATTAAATCTGTCGGTAGGTGAAGTTTTGGTATGATGAGCAAATTAATCCAAAAGTGGTACATAAACGATACCGGTAAACGTTGGCGGTCTACATTTTCCCTATAGCGTACCATTGATTTCCATTTTACACGACATTTTTGAACTAGTTACAAGTCGGCAAATTAACTCTGCACACCCCTCAAAGAAAATACCTTCGCTACGCTCCTGTCAATGGCCATTAATCAAAAGCAACGATCTCCTATCAGTCGGCCAGCGCAATTGGTGAGTGCCACGACATAGACACCACAACTATGTGAGTGAATCGATTTCCAAATAACCAACGGATTGTTGGTTCCTTGGAAAATGACGTCGTGAAGAGAGTCTCTACCTGGAGGTCCTTGAATGACTGTGAACTGTCGCTGCAGAGCTTTCCGCAAGGCGGCTTGTTGCGATTCATTAGGAAGGGGAAATGGTGACCCAGGTATAGAAAAGCTCTTGATTGCTTTTCCTGCCTCCAGAAGCCTTCGGATGACTGGATCTGTTTGTATGATTTTAAGCAAATGAAAATGTTGGTAGTTTGCTTTAAATTTGTATTTCGAGTAATCGCAGTGATTGAAAGTATTATTAAATCGATAGACTTGTAATGACAATCTGGTGATGCCACTGATCGTTTGAAAAATGCCTGGGTAGTGGAAACACTCACCGCCGTTGTTGACTGCCGGTATTTGACGAGTACATATTCCCTGGACTATCTCTTGTGCATTGTGCAGATGGGCAACAGCAGATTCCAGACGGCTATTAAAAAAAGAAAGCATAACCACACGGAGTCAGGTGGAATGTCGTGTTACGATTATCAGGAAGGGAACACTTTTATTGTAAATGCTACCACCATTACTCACCCGTCTGAATTACTCTTGGGTATCAGCTCGATAGTGCATGTCCGTACCTTCTTATGCCTCTCAAACAACACATCTGGAAAAGGCGCTGAATGTTGATTAACCCCCACGTGAACCTCAACCGTCCAGTCTTCGGTATTCTTTTTCTTATCAGTCAAGGCCGTAATGAGTGCATGAGCAATAAATGTTGTCTGCCCTGATTCAGGCGTAGTTGGACTTGGCGTGTTGGTGCAATCAATCATTCGGAGGTTGCTCTTTGCCTTCGGAGTCAAAGGTAGGTCCCTGTAGCACAAACAGACGTAGTCGCCTTTATGTATTTCGAAACCCCGATCATTACAAAAATTTGTTTTGATCTTGAACATTCCGTTGTATTTTGGAGATTGATCAATTCCTTCAGTGCAGTGCCAGTCGATGTTTACGTCATGGATGACGCAGCTTTCATCACTCACAACAGCATTGTGGGCCGAAATCATTCTCAGAATTGGCAGCCATATAGCTTTATATCGTTCAGTACTGTCTATCTTAGCAGAAGGTCGATGCTCCGCGACTTTGGCAAAACTCTCGATGGAATTCCCTCGATGCTCTGCGCAAAGGCTTAGCTTTGGTGTTAGAAAGACGAGCTGCAAACAAGGTGAAAGGATACCCCTTTGAACGCTTGCATTCAGTTGGACTTTTACCACATCACCTCGCCTAAAACTCCGCTGGAAGTGTACGAAAGGGAAGGGTTTGTTTGCATCTAAACTTTCACAGGTTACTTCCTCGACCAGAAGGTTCTGATTTCCAACAAGCCCTCTCTGCCTTTGTCTTCTAGATTTTTCTCGTTCTTTCAATTCTTGTTCCTCGTCTGCATCTGTTACAGCCCTGTGAATGACGTGCGTGTTCTCTGTCTGAACCGCTCCTAGAATCTCCTTCCAGTGATCTGCAGAAATCTTTACTGTCATTTGATCTGTATCCAGTGTTAGAAGCGACACAAGCCGTGGTTGCGGTGTTGTTGTACGACGCAACTCGTAGATTCGTTCTTTCCACTGAAGCTCCATCTTGGTCTGTCCTTCCTCGATCTGTGGTTTACTGATAGGCTTGAGGATGTTCAGAGGACACGTCGATGGAAGAAAACGTCTGTACGGAAATATCAGTTTAAGACTTGAATCAGAAAAGCCACCGACAAATACCTTGAATGACTGAGGGGCTTCCTTGAGTCTTAGGGCACACTGAAGAGCGCGGGTTTTCCTTTCAAAAGTTTGTGAATTTATTTGCTGAATATTGCAATGATGAGAGATTGATGCGAGCTCGTCTGTGGTATACGGCCGCTCCGACTGATGCAAGGTATCTTGAGCTTTCTCGTCATTAATTGCAGAAATCAGCATGCGATGCACGACAAGGTCGAAGTACCGACGAATCGGAGATGTGAAATGAGTGTAGGCTGCCATATTCAGCGAAAAGTGATTTCTTTTTGAACTTTCTGTATGATCTCCAGAGCTAATGTAGTCAGCAGTCTCTAGCATAACAAATAAGTCTGCCCTGGCAACGGCAAGTTGTGGATGGTTTTCATCGCTGGTAATTAAGTCAGTAATTGTAGTTATCTTACGTTGATTACCAACTGCTTCAAGAAGATCGTTCCATTTTTCTTTAAGTATGTGCACGTCATTGGAGTTTTCACTTTGAAGCTCTTTGCTGAAACCTCTAGACTGAAGTTCCAAACTGTTCACAAGGTCTTGGGCATGGTTTTCAAACCACGTTTCTATGTTCTCCTCACTTGGAGCAAGTTGCCTTCTGAGCGGACTGCAGTCTGGATAAACCCTGACAAGGAAAGTGGCTACTGCTTGATTTGCAAGGAGCATCATTTCTTCTACCAAAGAATGTGCAAGGGGATGTTGCGCCACCTCTTCTTCGGCATCGTGCGAGAAAGCAAACCGACCCAGCCCAAGACGACTTCTCCTTCTCTCTTTCGCAAGTTTATTCAATGTTAAGATTTTTTCTGCGATGGTGATATTATTGTTATGCTCGTCGTTGCTCGACGTGATGATTTCCTCCACAGCACTGTATGTCAGCTTCTTGCGGGATCGAATTACCGAGCGCACAATCTCTACGTCCGCCATCATATGCCCGCTCTTATTGAGCGTGGCAAATACTGAAATAGTCAGCCTATCCTTTTGGGGTAGCAGACTACATAACCTGTTGCTGAGCTGAGAGGGGAGCATGTTGATGGGTTTGCTGACAGACGGATGTGGATAGAATGACGTAGATCTATTTCGTGCTTCTCTATCTAGTGTGCTGTCTTTAGAGACAAAGTAAGAAACATCTGCAATGTGTATTCCAATCTTGTAGTTTTCTCCGTCACGTTCTACACTCAAAGCATCATCGAGGTCCAGGCTTTCTGGAGGATCAATGGTGAAGACAAATTGATGTCGTGCGTCATACCGAGACTGAATTTCATCCTGAGGAATTTCCCACTCATCCGAGAATTGATTCTCAACTTCCTGCATGATTTCGGGCTTCCAATCGTCCTTCACCCCATGAATGAGCTTCAGGATTCGAAGGCCCTTCTCTTTGGTGTCGGCTTGTGGGAGTTCTTCTGTGACCAAACCCATTGGGTAAGGAGCCTTGGCAAACCACTTCACATATTCAACGACAAACAGCTTGTGTTCTCGATCTTTTCGTGACACTTCCACATTCTTCAAGAAGGGCGAGTCTTCTTGCAGTTCCTTACTGTAACGGTAGATGGACACGATGCATGAGTCAGGTGATCCACGATATGTATTTCCCTTCCCCCTTTTCCGTTCATCTCGTGCAAGTACAAAGAACTTAGGGAGTGTTCGGTCAATCGGAACCATTTGATTGTCTATATATTCGTCAAGTTTACACACTACTTTCGATGTAAGGGTGGATCCAGCTGCCCTCTTACAGATACATATGACCTGCCCATATTTCGTCTGGCTCTGAAGGGTTTCAGAGTCATCTGTGTTGTCAAATATTTCCACGATAACCTGATCAAGGTTCAAGGCTCTGCCCCTTCGTATCTTACTGGTGATTGTGATCTTCCCAGATAAACCCTCGTCAAGCGGGACTGCGTATGTGTATCCAGAATTCTCACAGTGGAAGACACATCTCTTGAATTTGTCTGGACGTTGCTCAACGTTTTTGTAAGCGATCTGACGTTCACTCTCGTCATGCTTGTCATTTCTCAAACCCTCCTCTGAGTCTGCTTCCTCTGCTTCCTCCGCTTGCTTCTGGTGTCTTTCAGAATAGCGAATATCTAATACTATGCGATCGCCCTGCTCTACCATCCGAAATTTGGGTGGCTTCCTTTTCCATTTTGTAGACACCTCCTTTTGGACTTCTGCATCATCAAGCTTTTCAGGATCAACGCCTGAGTCATCCTTTGACCTTTTAAGTCTACGTTCATCGTGGCTTATCTGCCTGTACAACTCTCGCATGATACCATCAGGGAGGGATGAGTCATTGCCAGGCAGCCAAGGATCGTTGTTGGGTGGCTTAGACACTGCTCCTGATGAGAGGGATATTTCGTTGGCTCTCGGTGCTTGAACCTTTGGAGGGGGTTGTCTTGTTTTTGCGACTGCGGGCTCGAAGGCCGCTGCAAAAGGATTCAAACGTTGCTTAGCTGATTCCATCTCTTGTTGGATTCCTTCGATGGTTGTACCCTGTTGATAAAAGCAAGGGTGTACTCAGTGGTAAGAAACATATAAGGTCAATTTGCACACTTCGGAGTAGCATTAGTGCTGTGTGTCATCAATTGGTGTAATTTTTCTTATTGATTTTTCCTTTAAAAAGTCTGGCGTCAATACAAAAATGTGGATGGTAAAAATGAAAATCAAATTTGCCCACCAGTGGCAGCAGAGTATTATTGCCATGGCACTCTTGCAGGAAACTTCGCCATATTTTGGAGCAATCACCAACAGAGCATAAGGTTGATGGGTCACCAACGACCACCAGAAGAGATTGTGCACGGGTACACGCTGTGTTGAGGAGCCGGGCATCAGACAGAAAGCCGTAGTCGAACGTGTCTTCTGGGCGATTCGCTGGGCGTAGTTGTGATACGAATGCCGTTGTGTCAACTTTGTTCAGCGTTCGTCGAGTTCTCACCGTACTAATGATAAGCACCTGATATTGTTTACCTGTGTGGCGTTAAGAAATAAAATATTAACTTACCGAATGTACTTTTTGCTGCAACAGGGCGGTATAGGACAAGTTCCAGCTAATCATTTTTCGACCACTGGTCAATTTTTAGGAACTCGTCCACAAACTAGAAAGTGGGTATCAGGCAAAATCGACCAGTTATTGACGTAGCCAGGAAAGGCAAGGGGGCACATGCCCCGTGGAACTCTTGCCCTCCCTTCCCTAGAAGAGCCTGTCTCCGTAGCCAAGGAGGCAGGGGGCAACTCCCCCAGTGGGAATTCTCCTTTCCTCCGAGAAAAGCCAGGTAAGCCGCTGCGACCGGTTAATTGACAAATCATTGTCTCTCGAACTTTCCATATTTGTAAAATATCAACACACAAAGCACTGAGAATCTCTCAGTCTGATAACTGCTAGTCATTACTTACCTTGGACATTCTGGACTGTCTCCACAGTAATGCTTCCCAGGGATTTCTTGCGAAGTTCCCGGATCTTCGTTACCTATAGTGATTAAAATTAAATTTGGAATTTTATCGAAGTATTTCTGTGTTTTAGTGATTCAGCTTTCCTGGAAGCGGGTTGACGAAACGGAACCTACCTGCATTTTATATGAAGCCACGACAGAGATGCTGTTGGTCTCCAGTTTCCCCCACTTATTTTCAGGCCAATTATAACACAAGTCTTGCACAACTTGCACTATCTGTGTTACCTGTAGAAATCGCCAACAAATTAAAACAGATCAGTCTAATTTGGATAAATCAAATTCTGAAAAAAAGTCAATAAAGGTCCCGCTAGACTGTCAAACCTACCTCAAAATCGTTGCTGTATGACATCCCTATTTTCTCATCCTCTCCCTTAACTGCGTAGAAGACCAAGGGATGCATAAATTTCGGGTGCGGTTCTCTGTTGAAGGATGCTTCGAGCTTCTGCTTTGTTCGGTTTCCGTAGTAAAACGTCCTGGAAATAAAGTCCAGCATTTTCTGGCACGTCCGATAGTTTTTGGACAGCAGAACTCTGCCAACCTTCTGATAGAAGAGGCGCTCCAGGAGAGACACGTGGAACTTAGCATGACGGGCTACTCGGGAAAACACCTTTAGGACAAAATTTATGTTTTTTTTTTATTCAAACGGTCGAGATTGTGAACCACTGGTTCTCAGGTTAACAAGATACCATGCAATGCTTAACTTGCCTCAGGCGCTCAGAAATCGAAACAAATGGGATTGGTTTAAGCTTTCTAAATCCCCAGGTCCATATTTCATTAAAAAAATAAATAACAGTTACAGCTGGAGTAAATGGGGTGAAGAATTCGTCACCTTAAAATTAACAGTCAAACTGAATTAATCTGCGAAAATACAGGTAATTCGTAGGAAAACGAAAAAGTGCCTCCCATAGTTATGCTCTATGGTTCAAACTGTGTATACCTTTGGACAAATCTGTAAGTGATCTCCTGCAAGAACCACGCAAGTATTTGCTGTAGCCAAAGTCAGAGGCTGTAATACCTCTGTCTCCAATGCCTGCCCAGCTTCGTCTATCAATATATGGGTGAAGTGACCGTAGAGCTCTGTTGAATCGAGTGTGTGAGACGTGGTGAGTGTCGTGATAACAACACTGCTTGCCTTTATCTCTCTCAGTGTGGGGGTCTGAACTTTGTCGTCCGTAATTTTGGTGTATTTGCGCACATTTTCAGCAATGGTTTTGATGTCTCGTATCTTTGTGTAGACACGAATCATTTGCTTTATTTCTCCGGCTTCCACCAGCTTGTGTAGATGCTCAGTGATGTACAAATCTGCAGCACTGACACAACAAATCAACATAAGCCTTTTCGGTGATAATCTTTTTAAGGTTCTCACCTACTAAGTAAAATTATTCTGATATCCACTTCAAATTCACGGTTCATATTTCAACCAAGCATATTTGATCTAAATTTAGTTTTTGCCCTGTGATAAAGGATCTCACGACGCGAATGTACACAGTTACCTGTTTGAGTGTGTGCAAATGAGAATCTTGCTATCTGCGTGCGCCTCCAAGGTACGCTTTACTGCCGTCGCCAATGTGTGAGTTTTCCCTGTTCCAAACGGTCCACATACAAGCACCGGTCCAACTGCTGCTGTCGACTCTCCTTGTTTCCCTTTGTGCCGAGAAATGAACTTCACTGCTCTTTCTTGGTGAGGATCAATGTGCTTTTGTACTTGTTTGTCAACAGGAGGAATCCTAGTATAAGAAATTTTTATGCCGAGTGTAAGAGTTTAATACGTTAACCCAAGGAAAGGTTTGACAATATCCTCAGTTATAGTTTGAGATTTTTTACCTTTGAAACAGAAAATAACAATGTGTTGAGGCAATGAATACAAAGGAGCCAGAGAGGGATCTACACTGAAAGCATAATCATTTTCATCAAAAGGCTAATTGGTTTGGAATTTGATGTAATTGAGGTGATGTTTCCCCAGACCAGTTTCAACTTTGCCAGGTTGTGTAGGCCTACTCAGGCTAGGTTACACATCGTCACCTCCAAAAAAGCATTTAGGAAATAGATCGTCTTTTGAAAAGCTTGTTTTATGCGATGTCGAATTCCGTTATCCTAAAATGCTACTCACTTGTGCGGGTTTCCTATTGGCGGGAACACCATGTCCATATTTTGTAGGCGGTCGACTGCCAAATGCATGTAACATAGAGGAAGCCGATTAAGATGCAATTGAATCTCTACGCGGTGTGTAGTGCCACCCTGTAGGTCCAATTCCTCCACACATAATGGACTGAGCTTGACGTATAATGTGTCTTGGTTCTGCTTCCCAAAGTAATCTTGTTCGGGCAGGATTATGGCTTCGTACACCTGAATGTATAAAAAGTCACCTGTCAAATCCACACTGTGGAATGCCGTTTGTTATCAATAGCATAGCGTAAGGGCTGTCTTGTTTATCTTCATCTCCTTCGAGACCTTTACCATTCCTGAAGGTTCTTATGAAAGAAAAAGTAGTAACAGAAGTATAATATTCAAATGTCGTTCTTTCTTTCTATGTATCACGAAGAAGAGGACGCTTTTAAGAAAACAATTGAGAAGTCTGCTTTTGAAATGGTGTAACGGCTGAAATGAGTGTGGATTGGGTTTAGTATTATGATGCCGTTGTGATATACATACGCCTGAACATACATTCTTACAAAGTTCGTACCCAACTCCCTTGGAATTTTGGATCACCCTACCTTCTTCGAGTTACCAAATTTTAGCATCATCTTATGCACATTCCTCTCGATGATTTGACTCGTCTCCGAATCGTCCATCAAAGCCCTCTTCAAATCAACCTTGCCAAACTTGCTGCCACCAACGGCGTTCTTCATTACGGTGGCTGTTGGGGTTTCTAGTAGGATCCGGTCAAGACACTCAAACGTGCTCTCCGAGGCAAATCTTTGCACAAATATACGAGGTATATAAAAAAAATCACATAACATTAGCGCTGATATGTATTATGCGAACAAATTACTTTGATCTTTAATTATTTCATCTTTCTGCCTTGGGGTCCATTGGTCTTAGTTATAAAACCGCCCTTACTGACTCAAACAACGGACGGACACCCAGAAGAACCAGACAGCCATTTGCTTTTCTCCCTTGTTTAATATTCTTCAAAACTTTTTTCAAAACTGAGCGATAAGGGCATTCTCTTTCGGTTGGTTTGAAAATAAGTTAGCTTACTCACTTGGATATCTTGGTATTGCACTCCTTTTCCTCCAAGTACAGCATTGCGTGCATGTATTCTCTGTAGTTGTCCCGACTCAACTCCCCCAGATTGTCGATGTCAAAAGAAATTGGTAAAACGTAGTCTGCCAGGAGCTTCACTTCTGTAGATGAAAGTTGGTAGCTATCTTCGTAGAACCTGACAATCTCCGAGTTTCCGTCATCCCACACCTCACATGTATTCCTCTGTTTCCCGTTTATCTCGTCAAATGTCTCATTTGGCGCACCCAATCCAACAACAACCTGCAGGGACAGAGGTACAGAGAACATGTCATTGGAGAAAGGTTGCTACAATACATTGGAGTCAGGTAGTGGTTCTTTTCTCGCCTTCCACCTCTGCGCCGTGGGTTCGATTCCCGGATCGGTCCACGTGTGGATTGGGTTTTCAGTCCCTTCGTTGGTTCTGTGGGTTTTACCCAGAATATTCTCCTGGGGTTTCCCTCCCACAAACTGAAACTGCTTCTCACTGCTCCACTCTACAGATGTGGGCCGTTGGGCGGCTGCCTGCAGCGACTTGTAAGCCTTTGACCCACGTTGTAAATCTGAGGGCCTCCATTGAAAGCAGTGCTGTCACTAATCAGAGCTTACCCTCATTGAAAGATGACAAAAGGTGGCACTAAGTTTTTCCAAGTATGAAACTTCACATAGGTCCTTCTACACTTAAACGCAAAGGATGGACGCTTAACTGAGTGGGACTTTAATGCGGTAGATTATGGCATTTATGTGTACGTTTAACTGTAAGACATACCTGAAGCTTACGGACTAGATATGGCTCAGTCCCCAGGTCGAAAAGGACCCACTGAGAAAAGCTACCAAGGATCTGAGAGCGAAAGATGACGTCAATTCGGTATGTCCTCCCATCTTCCTCTGCGATGAGGTTACCGGGACAAACCTGGGCCTCACGTTCCTTAGGAGGCTTGGACAATCTGAAATAAGGTCTGTTGTCGTCGTAGAGTAAGCAGACACGCTTCAGGGATTTCTGCTTTGAAAGATTGAAGGTTGCATTATGTAAACTCTTTTTGGTAATAAGACTGAGGGAAACCTAAAGAAACCCTAATGAGTGGATACCATGAATAAGTGCTCAGATTTTAGGAAGGGAATGATACTCTAGGGAAAATCCACTCGTTATTATGCAAAGTTAGCGTGTAGGTTTTTGAGTATGTGAGTGACATCATGACAGTCTCTAATATATGAGTGAGTGACTCGCTTACAAAAGAGATTTACAAGATGCTACTGCAAAGATGTGTCGCATTATAACCCTTCTCATGTCTCCAGTCCAGAAAATGTAATAGAATTTCTAAATGCTCTGCTTACGTTTTCTGATGCCTTGAGGTCCAGGGTAAGCGACCAAGTGCACGTGTGTGGGGAATCATTGTCCCTCTTGTCTACATCCAGGTATTGATTGAAGTCCTCGGAGCAATCAACGCGGACTCCAAGCAACCTGTCTGTAATCTGTAAAGGAATCAAGAGAATGCATGCAAGTATTGTGGTTGACAGTTTTCCAACAAAGCTGAACTATGAATTCCGTTTTCATTCACAGGCTTCCCACATTACTGCTATTGAACACTGCAGACCATTGCTTGAACGAAACAGGGGAAGTGAGACCTTCTGCTACCAAGATAACACTGACATGCCATTCGCGTTTGAAAGAAAAAGATTCCATACATATAACACTTTACCACGTCCTCCCCTCGTGAGGGAGAGAAGTTATATCTGTCAAGGACATCATCCATGAACGCATACAGCTGTTTGTCCTTAGCTTTTCTCATTTTCATCATTCGATATTTATGCCTCTCCTTCCATTCCTGCAGCTCTTCATTGCTGTGAGCCTTGGTGCAGTTGTTCTCCAATGCACTGGTAAACATGCATCTTTCTGTTTTATTCCTGAAAAAATTGAGAGCAGGTGTTATGTTCCATGACAATGTCACACATTGAATGAAATAATGACGACTTCACTCGACTGTTGGCACCCTTTATTTTGAGGTGTTTGATTTACGTACTCTAAGCACTCTTGGTACTGGCCGTTGACGACATCCCATGGTGGGCTGCGATACTTCCACTGGCCCTTCCTGTCCTCATCCGAGTTGACCCTTGAACGGTGAGTTTCACTTGTGATATGTTGTTGGAGCTGTGACAGCTCTAAGTAATAGATGTCGCAGTAAGAGCAGTGATGCTTGGGCTGAGGGGATGGTTTGGCATGCTTTACCTTACATGTTGTGGGTGCTTTCGTGATTACATTGGACGGTGCACGCCCGGCCATTAAGACGTCTCCTAATTTTGTGACTAAGATTATTTAAAGGAGAAAAAGTAGAAATCGTGTCATGAATAAAACAAGGTGTGTATCTTAGAGTTTCTTCCGAGAAAACTGATTGTCAGGGAAAGTCTCATAATATGCAAATACAACATGCAGGATACAGCTGATGTTCAGAAGCCGGACCTGAACCTAGCGTTCAGCAGGTAGAATTATTTATCTGAAATGCATCCTTACGTTTATGTTTCCCCATGTACGCCCAGAGATCTGCTTCTTCTTGAAAGTGCGGAAACCAACAGTCGTGGCGCTTGCAAGCATCTCCGTAGATACAAAGATTTGGGATAGCATTGGGTGACAAGCTCTCGTGCCGTCGTCTGACCTTGCACCATCTCTTCCTTGACCTGGAGTACACCACTATCATCCTGCACTGTTGCCAGCTGTGTGAGCCCGATGAGCCGGCACACACTTGTGGTTGGCTTCCTTGTCGCTGTTCACATACTTTACCACGAGCATAACACACTCCACAGACGTACTTGATGTCACGGTGGAAGCTTGGCAGAGAGGCGAGATTCACTGATGCTGTACAAGGAGAGAGGACCTTGCCTTTCGTCTTTTCAGGGCCTTGAGTCTTTTGGTTGCTGAAATTTGAATGAATGTAGTTTGTGTAACGGTGGAATGTTTGCAAATTACCGATGTAGACTGCTGTTTGAGGGATTGATAATAATCCTTTAAAAGAACCCCCCCCTGCACCTCCGTCATCACCCCCCGACTTACTTCGAAATTTGTGCCGAGTGTTTGGTTCCTTTTCTTTCTGTGGCCCGACCGGTTTGTTTTTGCGTAGGCTTTGTCGACCCGCGTGAAGCAGGCTCTGGTGTTTTTCTGTCTCCAGCTGTCTTTGGCTTTGCGCCCTGTTTCAACCATTGAGATGATGAATATGATCCTGCGGCAGGAATTTAGATATCATGGAGCGTAAATGGCACTTTTCACTACTTGGTCTATGATGTATATTATTAATGAAATTCTCAGTGAAGTTACAAAACATTTCCCCCTGTTGCCTTTTTATACCTGTGATTGGAAAGACAGGCTCTGCACCGTCACTGATCTGTTTGATCTTCCTTCTTTTTCCAAAAGAATGGGAGGACTGGAAAATCAGACAAAGTAAAAGTGAAAACGAGTCAGGAAATATGAATTGGACATAAAATATGCCTCATAAGACAGACAGACCCTTAGCCTTACTGTTTTGGCTCATTTTATTCTTGTATGGAAGGGTACCTTGAATCTGAAATTTTGGGTGAGAGGCAGTGCTTTTGGTACTTCGATCTTTTCCATCTGAATCAAAACTTTGCAAGAATGCAAAGCAAAATCCATTTTCAGACAAGTTTTTATTACTGCGTCATGTAGTACCAATGTTCACTTGCTTTGTCTATCCCTGTCATTGTAGAATGATTGAATAATTGCGAATTCCGAATAATAGCACGCTTAGTATAAGACAGTCCGAACAAAGTGGTTGTCAGTAACTGAAGGATGTCATCAATAGCATTTATTCATTAAGAGTTAAATTTGTTCCGAATCTTGCACCAAAACTATGTACAACATCGCTACCAATTAGCTTTTGATTGGTCCAGTAATTATGCAGTCAGTTCTGGATGATAGTTTACATCATTACTAACCATCTTACTAGGGCTAGAAATCGGCCAATATGGCTCTGAATTAATTTGAACTGCTATAAAAGAATATTCTCAACAGCAAAAATCGGTGTGCAAGCATGCGACAAAATTCTGGGTTCATACCTTATTGCGCATGGCTATTTCTCTGTTATGACTGGGGATCCAGGCTGCATTGAAGGTCTGGGAATCTGACTTCTGCTTTGTTTCATTTTTGAGATTTTGTAGGCCGAGTTGTCTCAATATATCCTTCACCTCTGGATGTTCCCTCACCTAAATATAAAATTTCAATCCTGTAGTTGAAACCCTACTTTAATCAAACGACAGAGGGGTGTATGGGCAGGAAATCTGGGATTCACCCCACGTGCACCTCCTTTTTTCCTTACCAAAACTGGTCATTACCTTTGCAAGACATTTCCCTTGAAACTGCAAACTCGATCACTTGCAATTTTTTTCTTGAGACTGGGTATGCAGTATTTCTGTTTAGAAATTCTTTGCTCAGGAAGCAATAGTGCTTAGACCTTTTTGCACCATCTCACCATCTCTGGTAAACCCTTGAGAAGGTCCGCCTTAAGCAATCTTTCGAGGGGGATATCTTCCTTCATCGCGATGTTGTTCTTGACCTTCAGTAACTCAATCTTCGCTGGCACAGAATTTGGGTCCATTGCTAGAGCTAGAACAGGATCGTAACCAAAATTAGTTTGCTATTTGAACGAATGTGATATCTTTAATATGCTCATTCGGTACGAATCTAACGAATACAAATAAAAACAGAATTCTATTAATCTCAGTGTTACCTTTTTCAGCATCCGAAAGTGCCTCTTGAAAGTAACCCTAATTACAAAGTAGAAATTCAGTGATACAGGTATAAGAATTCTGACTTTGAATGGCTGCAGATAAGATATTTTTCATTCAAGACATGCAGCTTTGGTAAGGTTTTACATATTCTCGAATTAATTGATGTAAATTGAAAGATGCTACCCATCTTCCTTAATTTTTTTTTTTGGGGGGGGATTTCAGCCAAACTGAATGTTAGCTGTTGCCAGCAGACGGCCTGTCCATTTGCGCCGAGTTGGCTATTGCGACGTAATCTTTGGTTGAAGCAATTTTGAGACGATAACGAGCCTTGGAACATTTCCTCTTGATGACATCCCCACGTAGCACGTAGTATAAAGACAAGTGGCAAACTCACAACATCCCCTCCAAACACACGAGAACTTTGAAGTTGATCTTACCAAGTTATTGGCACATTGGGATCGCAATACAAGGAGCCTGATATCATTCTGTGTATCGAGGGAATAACCGTCGAGACAGAGGACGCTGTGTGGGGAAAGGGAAGAATAAGAAATTATGGAGAACGTAGAATGTGCGCAGTCGAACACCAATTCACGAAGGAATTAAAAGCCTACCGTAGAATTAGTGAACAAATTGTGCGTACACCCAGTTATGTGAATAGCCGAACTTTAAAAGCAGTAATTGCATAAATGACAGGGCAGCAAAATGCCGCCCCCGCAATGCGATGTTTAAATTTACACATCGAAAGAAATATCAGACGTATGGATTCTCCTCTGGCTTAGGTGTTTAATGGGACAGTCCGCAAAACGGATTTAGTTTACATGCGAATTTAGGCTGCAATTCGTCCAAGTTAAAGCTAATTTTGTTGCACATTTCTGGTCTGCCCAATAATTCAATATAATTTAATGCAATCGATCACATTGTAGTAGTTGTTTAAGAAAACATACATGTACTTCCCAATTCCTTCTTCTTCCAGAATTTCTTGACCCTTCCTACGATTATCTTTTATCTCTTTAGGCCTATTGTCTTACTTTCCAGTATATCAGATTTATTCACGTGGGAAGAAATATTTACCTGCTAGAATCGATTCCCAGAGTGAGAAGACTGAAGGCGTTTTCATAAGCTTCTTCTGCTATCAGATCCATGGCTTCTACTTTGACATTCTGCTGAAGCTTCCGAATGAAGGCTCTCAACTTTGCGATTAATATCATTGAATAGCTCATGTTAGATCTTCGTTAATGGACTCCTTGTGCGGACAAGAGATGATGCGTTTTTAAATGGCAGGGGCGTCCGGCTACCAAAGGCGCATCCAGAACCAAATTTTTAAAGGGTTTTTTTTGGGGGGGGTAGAAATTGTAGATATTTTTTATTTAACCTTTTCCGGTCTTTTTGAGGGTTGAATGTGCATTTCGGTGCTTCTTACACACTTTTGAAAGGAAAGAAATGGAGATAGGGCTTCAAAAATCACCATACTTTTTTTTTCTCCCATTCCCTCTGACTGGAGCCGCCCTTGGTTTGCGATACACCGCATGCAAGATCTTTTTTGTACTGGAATATAATGTTTTGCGTGTGCTCTTAGCGGAAGTAATCAATAAGTCAAAAACCACAATTGATTTACAAAAAAATAAATAAATAAAACGAGTCAAGCACTCATGCCGTGTAGTGGAAGTCCTAGAACGGTTTGTGATAAATTGCCCAATTGATTGATTTTAAGTTGGGTCTACAGGTGTTCATGATGACCTTTATTAATAAGACCACTCACAGTGTGCGGAGGAGGTAGTGATTCCTCAGGAGTTTGCCTAAAAAGGGAAGAAAAATAAAGAACAATGCCCTTTCTGCTGACTGCTTTCATTCATCTTGTATGATTAAACAATTCCCTTGCTATACAAAGATATCATAATTCCTGAGGCCGAATCACTCAATATGCACCACACCCTCCTATTGTCTTGAAAATGAACTGTCAAAGCCCGGCTTACTGAAAGACCTGGGATTGGTGACGGTTACATCGGGTTGTGAACTGCTTACGGGAAATTTTTGGAGGACGGAGTAGTCACACTGAATTAAAGGTTCCCCAATGTAAGTTAAATTTTTGCGGGGGTGATCAAAGGACAAGGCTTTCATTTACTCAACCGGCAATGAAAGACATGCAGTGCCACTGGAGAATTTGTTTTCAAAGGGCAGGCGCTTTTTGAATCCTAAATAACCGAAGAAAAATCATCTAATCGAAAGAAATACTCTTTTGTTACTCATTCCTACAATTAAATTACTTCTCATTATTGTTTCAATTTGTTATTGAGAGTTTCTTCACTTTCTGTAAGTGAAACGTCCCTTGATTCAACTAGAAAACCTATTTTGACTTGATGCCCACTAATGGTTCACACGAAACTGTCCTTGGGAATTTTTAATTCATTTCAAAGCAAAAATAATTTTTACATGGCCAGAAATGAGCGTAACGACAACAATTCCTTGGAATTCCTCGTTTTTCTTTACCAAAGCAGGAAAAAGCTTCGACGCAGTCCGTTGATTCTTTCTTCTCGCTCTTCATCCATTCTTCACTCCGTGACCTGATTTGGTAAATTTAGACAATGATATAAAGACGTGCTGTAAGTTCACTTATCGTTTGCTGGATTTTTTTCTCGAGGGTCATAACATTAAAACATTAAAGATACATTGACAAATTATCTCCTTCGTAGACACTTAGTAGTAAATAACAAACTTTCGGAATACATTTGAGTTAGGAAGACATTTCAAGGTTTCACTAGTAACGTTTCAATATTAAAAGAAGTGCAAAGTTAATGGTTTTGCGGGATAGTTTTGATAGCTCAGCCATGATTGGCCAATTTAGGTTTGGCCATTTTTTGTCTTGGTAGACTCCAAGGGCATCAGAGTTTGTACACGCGAGTGGAAGGGAATATCTTAATAAAATAAGAATAGAGCGTGGTTATAGACAGCATTTGTAAAGTACGGCTCATATTGCTTTGCACGTCACAGAGCTGTATCCACATTTGTGACACAAAGTAAATGAGAATAAAGGCTATTGTATTACAGGTCCCAGTTGGGAGTTTTGAGTACTACTCGACAAAAGAGAATGGTAGTATGTATAAATATATTTGTTCATTAGCAACAAGCAGTCTTGGTTCTTCAAGTTTATAGACCTTTCCTTCGCTACGTTACCAGCAAACTGTATGATTGACAAAAGTAGGGCTGGCTGTTGATACGAAAACCAAATAATAAACTACAAGGGTTTAAAAAGTTCATACAAATATTAAACACTAAATAATGGATATTTCTGCTAAATACTAACCAAAAATGTCTCTCACGTTTACACTGACGAGGAAATTGTGCATTTTGAGACAAACATTATTTCCAACCAGTGGTGAACCTTCTGCAATTTTTGGTAACTCGTACAAGATGGCAGTCAATATTTGCGAACAAAAAAGGTCAATGGATCTTTTTTTCTGCTTAACAAGCACATTCTTGCTAACCAGTAGTTCTGCATGCAGGCAGACAACCTAAAGGTTGCCGTTGCGCATGCGCGAAAACACAAAAAAGTCCAATAAACGCTGTCACGGGGCTGAAACCTGCTGAACATACTCTGATCCAATTGGCAATACACGTACTTCCCGGTGTCACAGTCTAATTTTTCTGGCGTGCTCGGATTTCCGGAAGAACGCACCGGATAAATGAGCACGTTGCTGCAACGTGGCCATTTATCCGGTGTGCTGATTTTTCCAGTCGCGCACGTACGTGCGCTCTGGGTCTGGTACCGCATTTTGCGCGGTTTAAGGCAATACGAGGAATGAAGAGATTGAAAGGGTTGTTTGATGCACATATTCTACGCATCACAGCCGCCCAGGGGGTGTATTTTTCAGTATTTTCCGTAAACGCAATGCGCATATGCTAAGTTGACAGACTAACCACATCGAGACTAGGAGTGGGCGACTTCACAATGCTCTACAAATGCCGCTGTCATTGAGCCAGATAGTCACAAGTCACTCCGCCCCTTACCCTACTTGGGTCCTTGCCTCAGACCTAATGCTCCTCTCAGCCGATTTTGTAATCCCAGAAGGATACAACCCACTAGGCAGATACCGTTTGTTCTGTGACATTTCGTCTTGTACACGTATCCTTCTAACCTGACCCTAGACACCACGACTAACGAAATTTCCGTTAAAACCACTTCGACGGAGGCGCACGGATGTCCGCAAGAAGTCCTGGCCGTGAAGCCGTAATCATGTGGTGTAAGAACTCAGCACACCAATGAAGTAAACCAATTCAAAACGGGATTTACTGGCCGTAAGTTTGGGTCTCAGGTCGAGTCGCTCGGCAGTGTTCGCTTCCTAAATCCTAGCATGCCAAGGAAATGAGATGGTGACACCGGTCCAAAGGTTCTCATGCCGCACTGGAATCGTCTTTCGGGGGGGGGAGGAATTTGAATGGATTTTACTTTGGATAAGCTAACATTAAAAGGATTGAGCACGAGGACGAACGTTGCAATATAAAGTCTTGTGATACATACATATATTTGATTTGATATGTAAAGATGTATAAAAATTAATAGTTATTCGCAGGTGATGAGAGAAGCTCGTTAATATCATTCAACAAAAACAAAGCAAAAACGTACCTCTTGTACCCACATATGAATAATAAGTTGATGGCTCAAATAATCCAGAAGTAGAAGTGAACTACGTCTATCAAAAATAGGTATTCACCCATTCTTCATGATCACAATGGATCCAGACCTGAACACATATAAGAGCCAGATAGTGGCTCAATTTTTTAAACGACTCCACTCAGTTGCGGGTTTGTAATGCACAGTGCAGCTGTAGAAGCACAACTCGTCGGACAAACAGATAGCTGATGTGAGAAATATATGGATTGTCGCAGCATTTGTAAGCAGACTGTCATGAAATCTGCCCTTACACTGCTGTTTTGCAAGGACGGGGTTTCCCTGAATGAGAAACACCGACCTTATTCTTTTATCGCAGATGACGCAGCTCTAAATTCAAGGCGCAGTGATATGGAACCACCTTGCATATTTTATGTAAAACACACAACAATGGTTGAGTCAAAGCAGCGTAGGGATTGTTACACAGAACTTAAGCATAGTCACCATTCCCAGTCACCATTGCTTATTTTGGAACAACAGGTGGCTAGGCCTATTCTAGCGCAGGTAACTATTGGTGCGCATTCGCATCTTGCATGTAACTACAAAACGGCAGTCAAAGCATTTCAAGATATAGCATAATTTTCCAATTTTTCTCAAATGTGAAAATCCATCCTCAGACCTAACCCCAATGTAAACTTTTCTTTCTCAAACCACCTGGAGTCACGTTAAGTTAAATTTTATCAGGCATAATACCACCTCGTTTTGATTCAACCTGTTTAAAGATGAAATCGTCAAATGTATTGATCTATAGTGATTAGCAATGAAGCAGCATCCTCCACATACATCGACACGTGCCACCCGTTTTCTTTGATTGACCGAGCATTAGCACAGACGTTATGCGTATGACGTCACATTAAAGGGAATTTTCTTTCTTCCTCTAAGATACGCCCTTGTAAACCTTTTGTGCATTCATTGTAACGATATTAACAAAACAAAGAACAGCCTCTGAGACACCCGTAACGCATGCTCTGTTGGACAACGCTTCGAAAAGAGAATATCGGGATCATGTCCTTTGAGTTTGGTCGCCAGATTCTGATAGACCAACAGACAATTCGGTACTCAATGGGTAGCAGTTCCGTCAGTTTAGAGTGCAAGCCTGTAATGCCATGTGTTTCTCATTTCCCCAAATTCCCTTTATGAGAAATACCGGTTATAGGTATTGTGTAAGGGCATTGTTTGACAATGGCCTCCAGCTGACGGATTAAATTGAATGCGAAAGATTCAATGGCTAAACAAAAGCATGTTTACTTTTACATGTACTTGTAATCTCTCCTTTATGACGTTGCAAATGTAAATACCGATTGTAACCAGGAAATTATTGACAAAAAAATGCCCTTTTACATTAGAGTGTATTCAACTATTTTCAATACTCTGTTAAGTTATCGGGAGCTAGTCATCTTGGATATGTCTCCATCCCCTTTATTTAAATGCAGTACAAGTGGCGTAGCAGTAGGGAGCAGGACAGGGTGTCATGCACCCCGATGGATGTCCATGCCCTTGGGTGCCCCCTTAAAATGTTGAACAAGCCGTCGTCTTGGGAAAATGTGTCCATCCCAGGATGCCCCCAGGAATATCCTCCAAAAAGCCTCTTCGATAAATTTCTTCCCGAATGGTTGCACCTTTAATGTGGATTTTTTTCAGTAAACGCCCGATATAGTTGACGGTTTCTCACCGACCAATTAGTGACTCATCTTGGAAAAAACGTGCCTTGTGCAACTGAAAGTTTCTGCTAAAGTTTGGTCATAGCGTTTACTATAAAGTGGCAGCTTGCCAAACATGACAACGTCAAAACAGGACATGTTTTTAAACACTGTCGTTTATTATTGTCAAACTATACTTCCATGGCAAACCGATAAGGACATTTTAAGGTTAAGAAGTTGGTAACTGGTCTGGATTTGTAGATAAAAAACTATTTTTTTGCCATCCCTTTTACTGTTAAATGGTCTGATAAAGATGGCCAAACGCAGATAATTGTCACTGTAAACAGAATATTACACAATGGAATGCGCACTCTCTCTTAAAAAGTGACATGCACAAATATTGTGATATCTTTAGAAAGAATTTAGGCATTCGATTTACAATTCTCCTCGGTGAATTGTTCCTGAAAAATTGTGGTCCTTTACAAGTGTTAAAAAAGTGGTCACGAACTGTTATACTTTTGACTTAATTAATATATTAATTGATTATATGTGCCGATTACCTGGTACAATGTGAATATGACATATTCCCATACTGTTACATAAACTATTTTCCATTACACTTGAAAAATATATCAAAGTTTGATAAAAAATGTGATCTGGAGACGGAATGTTCCCTGTTAACATACAAAATTTCACCGACAGACAAGGCTTTAACTTCTTCATTCAAATTTCAAACATTCCTCCTTAAACTACTGTTTGCCCAAAAAATCATTAGGCCTAACCCCCCCAAAAAATATGTAGGCTATATCCTGTAAGATCTGATTCTGGCGAGGAAAAACAAAATCAGGGTTTTATGTAGTGTACGTGTTACGTACACGGATTTCGTCCAAAATTCATTATTTAGAAACATTCATTGAATTCTTTCAGAAATATATTATACACTTTATCCATACACATATATTGCGTCATAACACTATTCTCTTTAAGAGCTTTATTTTGTGCTCCTAAGCAGGTTGGGGAAAAAAAGAGTTATACTTCTGAACGCTGAAACTTGTCAGGATTTGTCCTGATTTCAGAATTTTGATAAGGATATTCCTGATTTCAAGAGCTTTAAAACATTTTGTTTTAAACTCTGGAAAAACCCGAGTTTACCATTACAGTGTTTTTATGTACATGTACAGGTATAACAATTGACATAACACAAGAAGCGGGTATTGTAATAGGTGTCTACAGGCATTTGTATTTTTTCCATAGATCTCATGCCTCTGACGGACCCTCAAAACCTCTGATTAGTATATTTCGTAGATTTTTCAGTTTTATCTGATCTCCCCCTGACGTCTAGATAAACATAATATAAGGATGTAACTACTACTAGCATACAGGATTCTATGTATACATGTGCTTACAGAGATGTTTTCATGCTATCAAAATTCCTACTTACTTGTCTGATCATGCTTGATGAATTTTCTAAAGCATTATTATTTGTCCCATATTACCATCATTTTAGTTAAACATTTCAACATAAAGAGTAGACGCTGTGCTTATCAACTTATGGACATAAGCAGTATCCGTTGAATCAAGGTTAGCTACATTATTACAGTAATTTGATTAATCCAGTTTAACGTGCTCTTAAGGCCCCTTCAACACCAGACATCAGTAACATTAAAATAGTTAGTAAAACAAAAAAGTACTTGGTAACTGTTATATTACTTTATACACAAATACAAGCGATTGGTATGTCAGCGAGATGCATGGAATATTTATTTCAATATGTGAAAATTATTTCAGCTCATTTGGACAAGGGTGGTTTCAGCTCCAGCCCCCATGTAGATGCAGATCTATTTTGCCACGTAGCCCTTGCTTTTTCACGATAAACAAGGAATCGTCTGCATGTCACTGATCTACGAAGACTTAGTCTTTACTGGTAACCTTTGAGGAAGTTCTCGGCGAAAACTACAGCTCCCTTCTCGTGGTAATGGTTGAGTAACTTTTCCCATGTTTTGTGAACACGCAAAAGAAATCTGTTTCCTGAAGGGCAGAACGAGGAGTAGCAAAACAGAGTGTTAACTGCAAAAAAAAGCTCTGCCACAAGGGGCTTCTGGTCATACGAATTTGGTAAGGCTTGATTAATTTCTGCTCACTGACAACTATGTGCAAATGAAAATACATGTATTTACAAGGGACGTAATGTCCGTTTTGCTGTTGCTTAAATTTGTTACAAGTCTTTGGACGTGTACTTCATGTTCTTTTGACCATTTCAAATTCTTCCAATACTTCTTTATGCCTTTCCTAACACATCTGTTAGCCACTGCTTGACAGTGAACACACGAAAATGAGGCTAACATCCATACTTACCAAGGATAATTAAACCCATTCTGGGTCGCGTGATAGCGACATTCATTTGATTCTCATCGCAGATGAAGCCCAGGTTGCGTTTCATCCAAGACGGTGAGGGTTTGTCGTCAATCTCTACCCTTGGCAGTGACCTAACGGTGGACAGAATGACGAAGTCCCACTCTCTCCCTGTTATATTGAACACAAATTACGTATTTATTGAGTGAATGTCACCGTATTATGATTTCTGCCATCAAAACAAAATTTTGATATTGCGATCAATACACCTCCTCCTCCTGCCTTCCTTCCTTAAGTTAAGTCTCTTCCAACAGGCACTTTCTATTAAAGCCCACATGATGGTGATTTACACTTAACCAATTATATCAAAGACAATTTATCCACAAAAAAACCTGTAAGTCGTTAAAGCGTTCGTTTCATGGTAACCTTAGTCATGGAGTGAGTCCTTCCTGTGGTTTTTGGTACCTTTCAAAAGATATTTTTTACCTGACTTTAGTAGGCCTAAGTCGTACCTTTGTTGTGGACTAGGCTCTTGTTTCAAAGACATTTCTGTAAATCAAATTGATTAGTTTTTACTTATACCTTGACTTGTAATAACTGTGCTAACTGTAACGTTTTCCAGGTTTGCTTCTTTCAGCTTCTCTTCGATCAGCGCTTTTTGGAGGCGGTACTGTGCAAGGACAACCAAGCTGTCTGGTTTCACGCCCAGACGGTTCACCATCACTGACACAATGCGGACCTACGGAAGCCACAGTAAGTATCATGCATTAGATGCATTCTTGTATAATTAGCTCTTTCGCGGTATTCTTCACAGATCTTATGACTTCTAATGATAGCAGAGTTATTACAAAGTTTCGTTATCTGAGTTCAGACTCGGAATATTCCGATTTTTGGGGGGGTGAGGTGGGGATGGGGTTGAGGTTATTCATCGAGCGCTACAAGGGACAGAGAACATTTGGTAACGAATCCCGAATAGTCGACGCATCCAAAATTATGCTCTTGGCGCAGGACTGTGGCTGCAAGCTGGCATGTGGAATTGATGAAAGGACACTTCTGAAAAATATACACCCTTATAAGGATAATTCGGGTATTAAAATGGCATGATTAGCATTTAGAATTTACTTTGGTAAATAGCAAAAATGACGTTACGTAGTTTTGCTCCAAACAAAGTAATGTTTGTTTATGTACCACGTGCTTGACTTCATGGGAGTTTCCTTTCGACTGTTCATTGCCTTCCTCTGTCCGTACACTTTGGATTTCTTCAACTCCAACGTGATGGCAGAACACCAGCGGGTTCTCCCTGCCGCCAGGCCATATTGCCGCGAGACGCGGCTCCCGTCTCTTAACGCTGGCGTCCGTCACTAGCTTGCCCTTGTAAAAAGCCTCCGAGGGGAAGGCACAGATTGACTCGTGCTGTGGATAAAAGACAGTGTTCTTGCCGAATGCCTATCACACAAATACCATTTAGTTCCCAGGAAACAGCTCAAAATGGTAGCAAATGGTTTTTGATTTCATTCTCAACCTTACGGTAGAACAGAGAAGACTGCAGTCTTTTGAATCTGCCTTTTATCCCCATAGAGAGTTGCTCTGGATTGAGAACTACTGAAACTCACCATGCGATATTGAATGGTCAGCATTGTAACTTCCTCTCCGTACTTCTCGAGGAGAGATATCTCCATACCGAGCTCTACCGCTGTCCTTTCCTGGATGATGGGTCTGCAATGACAATGAATTTCAGAGTCTTGGTGAATTCGTCTCTTTCGTTTCATCCACTTGAGTGTGAAATAGTTTATTTTAAAATCACTGTCCATGGTCGGAATGGAATTTGCTGAGGAGATTTCCTTTCAACTGCGGTTTCTACATTGCTTTCCCAAAAGCATTAAACATGAGCTTAAGCTAGTGCCGCACTGACAATTACGTTCCCCCAAATGCAAGAATTGCAATATTTTACGTACACTTCACATTGACCTCCAGGTCCATCCGGTCTGACTACCCACCGCTACTTATAAGTGAGGCGTGTGCAGCAAAATAGCCTGCAAGAACTGTGATGCTAGTATATTTTCGTATGTCAAAACAGTAGGCAAACTTACAAATGAGGCTAGTCTGGCAGCGTCACGAAAATTTGCAAGCAGAAAGCTCGAACAAGCCTCACGTATAAGTTTGCCTACTGCGTTGCATCATACGATGATATATTAGCATCATAGTTAGAGCATGGCTATTTTGCTGCACAGGTCTGACTTATACGTAGCGGTGGGTAGTTGAATCGCGTGCTAGGTTTTGGAAGTATCGCTAACACATTAATATTTGGAGATTTGATATTTCGCATTTGCAAATCTTTCTGCTGACTCACCTGAGCTGTTTATGGTCCCCAATTAGAACAACCTGGCGTGGAGAATGTCTTAACTTCTTCAGGGTACTGTTAGGTTCCTCAACCTCTTTGGCGGTCCCCACCAGCGGTATCAGGGTTTCTGGTTCACTGCACATCCCAGCCTCATCCACTATGCATTGGATCACATTCAGGTAATTCTGAACGCGTCCACTACCTGCCTCATTACATGTACACAGGACTACCTTGTATTTTCGCAGTTCTTCTGCCTGTGAATGGTGCAACAGGAATATGTTATCCGTTGATACAGCCAGCTTCACTGGGGTTGTCATGGAGCTACCAACCAGCAGAAATTCGCTGAGCACAGGTAAATTTGCCTCAAATTTTGTGCATAATGACATTGTGTATGACTTACAGATAAATTTGCGGACAATATTTTCTGCTTAGCACCTCCTCAAAGTTCAGCTTTGAAATAAAATATTTGTCTAGCGTCTTCCGTAGGCACCAAAGCTGAAGTGTCTTGACGGTTTTTCTCATAAAAAACACGTTTAATGTTTGCTGTACAAATTGGTGCCATTCATTCAACCAATCATTGAATATGCTGCAGATGTTTGGGACATTATTCAGAGGCATACTGACGTAGTTACGTCTCGAATGACGTTTAAAGAATTAAGTTCAATGAGAAATGCTGTCTCTCTGTACGACTCGTTTAACCCCAAACCAACCTCAGCTCCGTGAATTAACTTCTTGTATTGGTGCAGTTCGTGGAAGCCGATCTTGTAGTGCGGTTGCTGGAATTTCCGGTCGTACTCTCGGATGAGCTCACTGCAACTGTTTGCCTTTTGCCGAATGAGGTAATGCAGTGAGATGTGACGGAGGTCAGGGTCCATCTTGGCTTCTTGAGAATGGCCGATCTTACTCGATCCATAGCCATGGCCAGGCAGTGGGTAGTCTTGCTGTTCCACCAAGTGGTTGTACACTCGGATGACCGATATCCCCAGTTTCAGCAGGTAGTCTGCATCATTGGGAAATTGAAAAGGTCAATAAATCTTCTTTGCAGTGGTACCGTATGACCTTCTAATAATTGATGTCTTCCATCACTGATAATCTGCGCTCAGGCAGAGAAAGAAGAAAACGAAAGGTATCAATCGTATTTTTTTAACAGGTCAGTGACTGCTTCCTCAAAAAGGTAGGCCTACCCACTATCAGATAACGTGTCTTACCAATTTATATTTACTTTACTTACGGGCAACCACGTCGACAGACTTATTGGACGGCCCACAGTAGAGAACCTGTGGCGGTCCCCGTCCAGAATTGGGAAGCTGCTTGTTCACCTCCGTGAAGAAATACGTGAGATGAGCACCAGTGATTGTCTTGCCTGTGCCTTCAAAAATTCAAGTCGATAACCATGTCAAAATACATCTTTTAAGAAGAACATAATCAAATAGAATGTGATTTACTATAACTAATTAGATTTCACCAACGTTAGATAGTAATGGCGCTCTTAAAGATCCTACCAATCGGAAGAATTAAGTTGAGACAATCGAGGAATCCCAACACATTAAACTATATTTCTCCTTTAGAGAAAGAAATAGCATACTGCACACAGCTTTTAATAAGAAAAGCTATTATTCTTGAACACTTCAATCGATAGTTAACGTGTATATAATGTTGCTCTTGAAAGCAAGCTATGAATGAAAAATCATTCCTTTTACCTGGCGGACCTTGGATTATGGTGAATTGCTGCTGCAGGGCGAGTTTCAGTGCATCTTGTTGCGGTTTGTTCGGCAGAGGGAAAGGCGAGTTTGGGATTTCAAAAGACGTCATCCGTCTACCAAGATCAAGCATTCTCTTGAGCACGGTATCTGTAAAATTTGGATAATTATATGGACTTTAAAATCCAGTCTAATGAATGCATCACTGAAATGTCGTGACGTTTTGCTCATGCCATAGTTCTGTTGATATTCTGCTTCGAACATAGCTTAGATCAGTTTAACTTTAATCTGGACATTGATTTTGAATATTTATTTCAACGTCGTGCACTTAATCACCTCAATACAAGATTAAGATACAAGATTAAGAATAAGGAAATTTATAGCATTAGCGTATACATTGACGCTGATAAAAGTTTCTGTAATTAAGTTCATATGACATGTGAAGGTGATTAAGGAACCCTTGGTATTGATTGAAGCAGAATGCTTTTGTTCCCCAAACCTTGGACAAACTAACGACAATCTGTAAGAAGAGTGACCATATAATAGCTGGAATACTTACCACATTGGTCGACCTTCGGGTTTTGATGAAGACAGATATCCTTGGTCAGTTGCTCTGCTTTGTCCAAACGTATCACTGCTGACTCCAGACGTCTATTTCAAAAACATTGTGTGTTTATAACTTGGGCTTCATTGTAACACACCCACATACTAATATGTACTTCTCTACTTCTATACAAACTTCGTAAAGCTAATGGTGGCTAACATGGAGGCACGTACCTATCTGAGCTGGACTTGGGTATTATCTCGATCATGCCGTGGATATTTTCTTAGACACTTTCTTAGACACGATCAAAGCGTCAGGAAATGGTGCTGAATGCTGATTCACCAGAACGTGGACAATCAACTTCCAACTGTCGGTCCAAATGTCAACGTCTTCAACCGAGGAAACAACAGCATGAGCGACAAATGTGTTTTTATCTCTGTCTACTGTGAACGATCCCCTGGAGGGGGATGTGTTGCCAAACTCAAGAAGACTGTGCTTCGTGTTGGGATCCAAGGGTAGGTCCTTGTAACGGATGCAGATAAAATCACCACTGCGTAATTTTATGTTGCGGTTGTGGCAGAACATTTTTTTGACCTCGAAAACCCCACAAAACTTGACTGGCTGATTGTCTGCGTCCTGAGAGCATTTCCACTCGATGTCTACGCCGTGGAGTCCACTTGTTTCATCGCTAAGAACAGCATCGTAGGCTGAGACCATTTTAAGGATTGGCAGCCACACAGCCTGATATTTTTGAATACTCTTAATCCTGGCGGGAGGACGGTGTGCCGCCACACTGGAGAAGCTCTCGATGGCATTGGCGCGGTGTTCAGTGCATAAGTTCAGCTTTGGAGTAAGACAGAACAGCTGATGGCTGGGCATCAAAACACCCTTTTGTATGGAGGCTTTAAGCTGCACCTGCACTACGTCACCCCGTTGAAAGTCCCGCTTGAAATTGACAAACGGTAGAGGCTTTTTTGCATCTGATGTCTCACAGGTTACTTCTTCAATGATGTTGCATTTTCGCCTCCGTCGTTTCTCGCGTTTCTTCTGGTCTCGTGTGAGCAATTGGTCATTTTCGGCGTCCATGATAGTTTGCCTAATCATAGTCAGGTTTTGTGCTTGGATCCCCTGCAGGAGTTCCTGCCAGATTTCGGTAGAAATTTGAACATTCGTTTCCGAGTCCAGGGTGCAGATCGTTCCTTGTGAGTGCGACGAAACGTGAATCTGTCTCGCCACTGCTTCCGAATGGTGCAGCTCGTAGACTCGTTCTTTCCATTGCAGCTGCATTCTGATGTCGTTCTCGCTGATTTCTGGCCTGCTGGTCGGTTTGAGGAGGTTGAGAGGGCATTTCATTGGAAGGAATGCTCTGTAGGGATAGAGCAAATCCAAACCAGCATCTGAAAATCCAGTCAGAAAAACCTTAAACAGCAGAGGGGCTTCCCTGAGCCTCAATGCATACTGCAGTGCAAAGGTCTTCTTTTCAAAAGCCCGGGAGTTGAAGTGTTGGTAGTTGCAATGATGAGCTAATTCTGCGATTTCGCTGTCAGAGTACGGTCGCTCAGATTGGTGTAACCTATCTCGAGCATTCTCGTCATTTATTGCAGCTACCAGCATGCGATGCACAACAAGGTCGAAGTACCGTCGTATCGGCGAGGTGAAGTGGGTGTAGAGGTCCATTTTCAGCGTGTGATGTCGAGATTTTCCCGGATAATCTCCACTGTTGATGTAGCCGCTGCGCTCTTGAATACGGAGGTAGTTCGCTTTTGCCGCACCGAGCTGTGGGTGATTCTCGTCACTGGTAATCAGGTCGGTGATACTTGCCATTTGGTCCTGGCCCGCATCCTGTGTGACTGCCGTTCGTATTTCATCCCACTTTTCCTTCAATACTTTCATCTGACGTGGAGCTTCGTTGCTATCTAATTCAGTCGTTGGTAGGGACTTCGATTGCAGCTCCAAACTATGAACCACGTGTTGACCGTGCTTAGCAACCCAATCGTTGACATTTTCGTCGCTTGGAGCGAGTTGCCTTTTGAGTGGACTGCAATCTGGATAGACCTCAATAAGGAAGATAGCCACTGCCTGATTAGCAAGCAACATCATTTCTTCAACCAAAGAATGTGCCAAGGGACATTGCGCCTCCTCTTTTTCAGTGTCGTGTGGAAACGCATAGTAGCCAACTCCCAAACGAATTCTTCGTCTGGCATTGGCTAGTTTGCTGAGAGTGCAGATTTTTTCCTCGAGAGTATCAAGGCCTTCTCTGTCACTGGAATTGGAACCGATAATTTTCTCAGCATCATAGTACGTCAGCCGTCTCCGAGAACGGATTACGGATCGGGTGAGCTTTGTCTCACCAACTATCGAACCATTCTTATCCATGACAGCCAAAACGGAAACAGTCAGTCTGTCTTGATCCGGAAGTAGACTGCACACCTCATTGCTGATCCTTTCAGGAAACATGTTGACAGGATTGTCAAAGGGGGGATAAAAGGACGTGGCCCTGTTTTTCGCTTCCTTGTCTACTGGCGAGTCTTTAGAGACGAAGAAAGATACGTCAGCGATGTGAATGCCGACTACGTAGTTGTCATCCTTTGATTCGATGCTGAGAGCGTCGTCAAGGTCCTGGCTTTCTGGGGGATCGATGGTGAAGACGATCTGATTTCTTGCATCATACCGTGTCTGGAGTTCCTCTTTAGGAATTTGCCAGTCATCTGGGAACTGTTCGACAACCTCCTCAATGACACCAGGTTTCCAATTATCTCTCACGCCGTGCATGAGCTTGAGGATACGAAGCCCATTCTCTCTGTTGTCTCCGAGTGGGAGTACCTCTGTCACTGCACCAATCGGGTAAGGGAGGGCAGCAAGCCACTTTTGGTAGCGCACGAGAAACAGCGTGTGCTGCCGATCCTTCCTGGAGATTTTCACGTTTTCAAGAAATGGCATGGGACCGTTTGGATTATTTCCGTATTGGTAAACGGATACAGTACTAAAGTCCGGTGACACATATTTGTTGCCCTTCTTTCCACTCTTCTCTTGGTTGTGAGACCAAATATATAATTTCGGGAGAGTGCGGTCAAGCGGAACCATCAAATTGTTCATATGTTCATCAAGCTTACAAACAATATCCATCATCAGTGCAGATCTAGCCGCTCTTTTACATATGCAGATGACTTTTCCGTAACACTTTTTGTTTTCGCTCTCAGCGAGCCCCAATACATCACTGTCATCGATTATTTCTACGATAACCTCATCTTGGTTCAGAGCTCTACCTCTTCTTCTCTTACTTGTTATTAAAATCTTCCCAGAGGAGCCCTCGTCGAGAGGGACTGCATAGGTGTGTCCAGACTCCTCACAATGGAAGGAACAGATCTTGTATTTTTCTGGCTGTTCTTTAACTTGTTCATACGCCCTCTTCCGTTCCCTTTCATTGTGTTCGTCGTTCTTCAAGCCCTTTTCGAAGTCGGAGTCATCGTCTCTGTGCTCACCATGTCGTTTAGGCTTGTCTTCACAGTTAAATGCCAATATGATGCGATCGGATTTCTGTATCATTCTGTACTTGTGTCCTTTGCGTTTTGATTTAGCAGGGGCCTTTCTATCGCAGGAGCCTTCGTCATCCATATCAGGAGTCGCATCAGTTTCCTCCAGCATACACTGATCTTCAGTTATCTGCCTGTGGAGCTCATGAAGGATACCATCTGGGATGGTGCTGTCGTCCTCTTGCAGCCACGTATCGACCTCAGTTAAAACTGGAGCCTCTGAAACTTGGGATAGCTTTTGGGTGGTATCATTCACGAGTGGAGTAGGCGTGCCGACCCACGAACCGCATGGATTGAACTCAGCTGCACAGGGATTCAAACGTTTCTTCGCTGCTTCTATTTCATGCTGAATTTCTGCAACAGAGGTTCCCTGTATTTGAAGTTATAAACGAAAGAGAAATATTTGAAAAGTCTCCTGATAAAATAAAATTATTTCAAAACTCTCGTCATTGAGGATATTTGCCAGTTTTGTGACTTTGAGTATGTCTAAAATAAATGTTTTTATTAGACAAATGGAATAAAAATCCTAGCAATAAGAGCAATATATGATCGAATTTCATATTTTAGAAGTTCGCAGACTCGTGTAATAAGATCTGAATGAGTAAAGTTATAAGTAACTCACCAATAGTGTGCCATTTTTTTCACATTCTTTCAGATACCTTCGCCATATCTGTGAGCAGTCTCCCACCGAGCATAATGTGGATGGGTCACCAACAACCATCAGTAGAGATTGTGCTCGTGTGCACGCTGCATTAAGGAGTCGGGGATCAGACAAAAATCCGTAGTCAAACGCATCATCTGGGTGATTTGCCGGACTAATTGTGGGCAAATATGACGTCATGTCAGCTTTGTTGATTGTACTGCGTGTTCTCACTGGGCTGATGATAAGCACACGATATTGCTGTCCTGAACGACGGAATCAAAAAAGAGACAAAGTAGTCGATTAGCTGGATACCAAAATAGGACGGAATAGATAGGCCTATGCTGTTTCATAAATGGAAGAGTTGTTTGGTTTTTCAGTCATGACTTTCTAGTGAAATGGACAAAACAAACATCCATTTTTGTGTCAAAATACATTTTCTTGTTGTGTATAGAGATGGTAACATCAACTGCCAAAGAGACATAACAAAACCAAAGAAACTCCTTTACTCTAAAGCTAAAGATGATTGGATGGGTTGACGAGTCTGATGTCATTCTAAAACTCAGTTCTCAATGAAAATGTTTACCTTGTACATTATGTATTCTGTCGACAGTGATGTTTCCGAGTCTGAGCTTGCGGAGCTCATTGCGAATTTGACGTACCTGATGGACATAAAGAAACAGGCAATGCTGCATTAATTACTAGGTGGCAGAACACTTACGGCTTTTTCAACTGTAAATTTATGGCACTATGGCATTTAGAGATATAGAAATACATTTACCTGCATCGTATACGGTGTTATAATACCAACGCTGTTCTTGTTCAGCTCTCCCCATTTATCCTTCGGCCAAGTGTCGTGTAAGTCCTTCACAATCAACCCAATTTGGGTCACCTATTGGGTGTAAACATACGCTGCAAATTATTTCTAATTGTTTCAAAATGGTATAATATGGCTTCTGAATTTTGTCAACCGATTTTTTTTTTACCTCGTAGTGGTTGATGTACGACATTCCTATCCTCTGGTCTACTCCTTTCACAGTGCAGAAAACTAAGGGATGCTTGGATCTGGGATGAGGCTCGTGACTGACCACCGCTTTCATCTGTTGGCTTACACGGGTACCGGAGTAAAACGCCCCAAACATGAAGTCCAGCATTTCTTGACATGTGCGATAGTTTTGAGACAGCATCACTCTGCCAACCTTCTGGTAGAACAGACGCTCCAGCAAGGATATGTGGAACTTAGCATGACGGGCTGTTCGGGAAAACACCTGACAATGGAGAGGGGAACGACAGAAAACGGTAACTGTGATTCCAAGCACCTTAAAACATAGAGCAAGGACACACACAGATGCTTGAAATGAGTCCTTAAAAGGGTACCCATGTACGGGTAGGAAACACCATCAAGTCTTCCCATTCAGTCTATAATTAACAATTTTCAGTTTGAAACAAAAACTACCCCATTTTTACGTTGAACTGTTCACCTTTGGACTGATCTGAAGATGATCTCCAGCGAGAACTACGCAAGTCTTTTCTGTTGCTAAGGTCAGAGGCTGTAGAACTTCCGCTTCCAATGCCTGTCCTGCTTCGTCGATCAAGATGTGAGTGAAGTGCCCGTAAAGTTCCAAAGATTCCAGCAAGAACGATGTAATCAGTGTTGTGATGACAACGGTGCTCGCTTTGATATCATCGGCAGTCAGAGGCTGAATCTCGCCATTTTGGATAGGAACATAACGTTTCACCGTTGCAGGAATTGTTCTGATGTTGCGATACTTTGCACAGACACGAACCATCTTGTCGATGCTGCCCTTTTCAACGAGTGCGTCAAGGTGCTCAGTGATGTATAAATCCGCAGCACTTAAGAAGAGCACAGGAAGTGAAACCGTGATTATTATAAAGTAGGCGTATATGCAGTCGGGTGGACTGACCTAATCGTCACAGGAAAGAAAACGCAAGTCTTTTTAAAAGAAAAATGTGAAAATTTTTTAGAAAGAATACCTGTTTGTTTGAGTGCAGATCAGAATTTTGCTTTCCGGTCGAAGCTGCAAGGTACGCTGTACGGCCATAGCCAAGGTGTGCGTCTTTCCCGTACCGAACGGCCCCAAAACCAGCACCGGTCCCAGCCCGGTCATTTGGCGAGAACTGCGCCCACCATAGTCTGATACGAATCTCAATGCCTGATTCTGATGAGGATCACTCAGGTGTTTCATTTCGCTTGAAAGGGTGGGTAGTCTGGAATGGCGAAGCAAAGCAAATTTTCTAATCGTCAGATTTTCAGTCCAGGATCTCACATGCGATGAATGTACACAAGTATAAATCTTCCATTTTTATGCAATCAAAAAGTCATTTGAGTGTATGAAATGTTGTCAGTAGGCCTATTAACACGTTCACCTCTGTGATTTTACACTTATGCGGAAGATTCTGTATGCTAAACTGAATGTTGGCTGGGTTTGTTTCTCACGGATCTGGACCACGATCAATGATCCGTCGTTGGTTTACGTACTCCCAAATCCTGCCTTATGGATTGTGCAAACCAGCATTAGGATCATTGATGGAGATCCAGTGACTAGTGAAACAAACAAACCTTTTGTGAAATTTGTACATGTATTTGCATATGCTCACTTGGAATACCGAGCAGGTTTTTTGGTCATTGTTTAAAATTGAAACTAGGCCAACCCACAGGCTAAATTTTAATACATTTCATGGCAGTGTCTTTTTAACCAGTTTCCTTTATGATGCAGGTACAAATTGAATTTGGGGGTAATTTTGAATGCTGTTTTGCTGTACACACACAGAAAAGTTCCTAGACATCCATCTCTATCTGAAGAGACTTACTGTTGTGGCTTATCTTTTGGCGGGAAAACCATGTCCATGTTTTTCAGACGATCAACAGCAGAATGCATGTAGCAGAACGGGAGTCTGTTCAACTGGAGTTGAACCTTGACCTGGTATGGGGTGCCGTTCTGGAGATTTTGGTCGCTGACACAAGTTGGACTGAGTTTGACGTGCAGAGTTTCTTGCTTGTGTCTTCCCAGCTCGTCTTGATCCAGGAGTATGGCTGCTTCGTAAATCTGATCGAGAAATTATAATCAAAATGCTATTTCTTCAACTGCCTTAGATCAAAGACCCTTTAATGTTCCCGTACTACCTTAAAATGCCTGTATCATATATTCTTTTGAAGGAAGACGTTGAAAGGCTTCCATCTTTATCCACCATCTGGCAATGTTTGCTAGTTTGCTACTATACCTGTCACTGGCCATAACAATTATGCCAGTGGCTGATTCCACTTCACATCAGATGCAGTAAAACCCACAAGTTTTCCCTGTCAATTCCAAAGTCACTTTGCAATTCATCTTCGTGATTAGTGTGTGAAATATTGACACCTGATCGCGGTTAATCACCCGTCGTTTACCTTTTCCGATGTACCGAACTGCAGCATTATCTTGCGGACACTTCTTTCGATGATTTGGCTTGTCTCTGAGTCATCCATCAAGACTGTCTTCAGATCCAATATTCCGTACTTGCTGCCGTCCACTGAAAACTTGGTAACTGTTCCAGTGGAGGTTTCCACATAGATTGTATCCAGACACTTAAGAGTGCTGTCTGTGCTGAACCTGTTGGATACGCATAAATGAGAGTAATAGATTTTTTTCAGTCAAGGCAACACGTGAATGGTAAAAGTGAAGAGGTAAAAGATTATTTCAGTTGTAAATATACTCTCCCACTATTTCGTTCTCACTTGGAAATCTTTCTGTTACATTCCAGCTCCTCCAAATACAGCATTCTATGCATGAACTCTCTGTAGTTCTCTCGACTCATCTCCTTGAGGTCGTCAATTCCGACCGTGGCTGGTACCCGATAGCTCGAGAGCAGTTTCTCTTCACTGAAGGAGAGTTGGTAGTCCTCTTCTACGATTCGCACAATCTCTGAGTTACTGCTGTTCCAGACAACTACCGGTTTTACTTCCTCCTGCGTCTCGTCAAATATCTCGTGCTGCACTGACAAACCAACTTGGACCTTGAAAAATAAAAGAGCGTCCACCATTTTTATGCAGCTTTGTTTTAAATAAGGGTCCCTCCTGTCGGGTATTAAAAAGGAATATTTGTATTAACATTGGTATTGATGCACTGGTTTGGGGTAATGGTTTTGTGATATTAGAGCCTGGTATTCAATTTTCTTGCGTGTACTTTTGAAGTGGCATTGAGCTTTGTATTAACAAATACCAATTTAGCCTCCTTACCTTAAGCTTACGGGCAAGATACGGTTCAGAACCCAGATCGAAAAGGACCCACTGAGAAAAGCTGCCTAGGATCTGGGAGCGAAAGATGACGTCAATTTGGTATGTCCTTCCATCTTGCTCCACGATGAGGTTGCCGGGGCACACTTGGGCCTCACTCTCATTTGCCGGGCGAGAAAGTCGGAAATAATGTCTGTTTTCGTCGTAGAACAAGCAGACACGCTTCAGAGATTTCTATGTGGGATGGATAAAGTATAGTGTGTAAGTCTCCGAGTAGAATGCAGCAAGACAATTCTATTTTCCTTGTTCTTTTTCTCACACTAGCTATCCATGACAAATGAATTGAAGTCTTTAAACTTGATAAAATATGCTTTAATTACCGTATCAGAAACCTTTATGGTGAATGTCCAGGTGTAAGCCGAATCCTGATCCTTTCCTTTCCCAATAAGATATTGTGTTAGGTCCTCAGAACATTTCACATGGATTCCCGGTAATTCCTCTGCTATCTGCATAGGTAATGGATGAAAAAAGTGGCGTTATTTGTCATGTAGTATCGCACTGTGATCAGACATCAGAAAGCTTAAGAGTTAAGATTACTTGTTTCTTTTCACATGGTTGGAGCATTATTTGTAGTCGATAAACGAGTCTTTTTTTCACACTCACCACATCCCTGCCCTTGGTCGAGGAGTTGTACTTTTCAAGGACTTCGTCCATAAAGGCGTACAACTTCCGCTCTTTGGCTTTCCTCACTTTCATCATTCGATAGCGATGTCTCTCCATCCATTCTTCGAGCTCTTCTTTGCTGTGAGCTTTGGTGCAGTCAGTAAAGACGCAGCTATCTCTTTTATTCCTAAGCCAAAATTTGGAAAATAATATTTTGCAAATAAAATGTCGAGAGCCAATCCTAATCACCAAAAGTAATAACAATTATGGGGGGTTACTACTGTGATTTGTGGGACTAACGAATCGTGCCGCTTACTCTAAGCATTCTTGGTACTGGCCGTTGACAACATTCCAGGGCGGGTCACGCTGCTTCCATTGGTCCTTCTTGTCTTCGTCTGAGTTGACCTTTGACCAGTGCTCTTTGGTCTGGATGTGTTGCTCCAGCTGCCAAGATGCAGGGTAAGATTTGTTGCAGTAGGAGCAGGGATGACAGTGCTCTTCAGATGGAGCAGATGCGGCAGGATGAGATGCTTTGGAAACATCGGACTGCACTTTGGTATCCTCTGTTGATTCCTTCCCAGCTGAGATGACCTCAGCTAATGTTTTCACTAAAATAAAGTACATTGGAATAGTACTTAAATACGACTGGGTGTTTTGGGCTATATTGAATTAACTATAGGTATTTAATTAAATTGTCAGGAAAACCAAAAGAAATGAAAATAAAAATGCATTTCATTAAGCCAACAGTGTAGTTATTTGTTATGCATTAAGCTAAACCAGCTGGATGAGTTTTTTTTTCATAAAGTAGGTCGGACATAGAGCTGAAAAATCATTTGTTTAGTAAGAAAGGTGCCCTGATTTCCCCCAAATACCACAGTTTTTAAACAAAATAAAAAAACTAAGAGTGACAACATTCTTGAATAAGAGATGAGAATCAGATGCATTTTGCCAAATTTCTGTATCTTAAAACATACTCACTTTTGTGATCCGCCATGTAAACCCAGAGTTCTATTTCTTCCTTAATGTGAGGAAACATGCAATCGGACCTAGGACAGGCCTCGCCCCGGGTGCACAACTGAGGCTGGACCGTGGGTCGCAGTTTATGATGTCTTGGTCTGACCTTACACCATCTCTTTTTGGTATCAGAGAACATCGCCACGATCTTGAACTGCTTCCAGGCATGAGACGCTTGACTTGCACACACCTTCGATTTTACACCATTGCATGTCCGCTGCTCTACCACTCCAGATCTGCCGTGCCTTTCGAAGCATATTCCACAGACGTACTTGATGGGATGACGGAAACTGGGAGTGGTTGGGACAGGAGTTTTCTTGGCATCAGGAGTTGAATCTTTACCATGGGGTGATTTGGATTCAGGAGAGGTGGCCGGCATGAGCGACGAGGAGGGAGCAGCTTCAGGGCTTCTCTCAGTACCCTCCATCGTGCCACCTGTCTCGGTCATTTTGCTTGCTGAGGCTCTACCTTTGGGTTGAGATTGCGGGCTTTGCTTAATTGTTGCAGTCTTTGAAACAGGAAGGAGAGTACCTGAGGACGCAGTCTTGGAGCCCTTCCCTGCACTGAGAGGCTTTGCGGTGATGTTAGGAGTGGAGGCCCTCCGTTGGAGTTGCAGAGGAGTTTCTGCCTTTGTCTGTGATTTAGCGACAGCAGAGCTGACAGAGGATTTTTTCCCATTGTCCGTTGATGACCTCTGATTTTGTTGTTCGTGTTGCTCATTGTTTGATGACGTTGAATGTTTTTTGTTTACACCTTGGGATGCCTGCCTTTGAGATATGACACCATCTATAGTTTTGACTGAATAAAAAAATCACAGAGATCAAACATTAAAATTTGCCGTTCTTTTGAGAAAGTATTTGTTAAGAAGCTGTGGTCATTTGATTCTAAACAAAATGGAAAGACAATTCATAGCAGATTCCTGAGTGATATGAAGAAATCATGACTGACGCTTGAAATGTTACTCTTCCCTCTTGTGTTGAGCACATCAAGATGTCTGTCATCAGGGAATCTCAAAGATGATTGACCCAAACCCTTTTGAATTTTATTTAATAACATTCTCCATGCTTTAGCATCTAAGTAATAAAATTCAAAACTAACTGTTATATTTGCCCATGTAGTGCCAGAGGTGAACTTCTTCCTCAATGTGAGGGAACATGCAGTCGGAACGCGGGCAAGCATCACCAAGCTTACACACTCTTGGATAGACTTCCCGTCGCAGTTTAGGATGTCTTGGTTTCACCTTGCGCCAACCCTCCTTTTTGGAAAACAAGACGGCTGCCCTCTCCTGAAGCCAGTCATGTGCACCAGAACTAGCGCAGACGGCTGGATCGCTCCCTCCTCGCTGCCCCACAACCTTGCTTGCGTTGCTTGCGAAACACATCCCGCACGTGTACCTCAGGGGAAGACTGAAACTGGGGATGGTATTGGCGGTTGCTCCAGCTAAAGATTTGTCACAAACATTTTCTGGCCTCTTTGAGGGCGAAGTCTTTTTCCTAGAAAAGGCATGCATCAGAAAACACTGTACATCAATCCAGTGCACAATATGGTAAATAAAAATTCTTTCAATTTTGTTTACAGAATTTGTGAACATACTCTGAGTTTGAATGTCTGGGCAACAGTTTAACAAAAGGTTCGTAAATTGCACGTTTTTTGCTTTTTCAGTTGTTGAGGAATGCAGTCTTCAGCCTTTTATTGCCAGGCTGTGTATTTTATTGAGGATTCACTTAGATGATGCTTCGAGGGCATTTTGAGGAAGTAATTAGGAAAGTCGAATCTCAGCTTTGATGACTGACAGGGAACTCTTAGTCGAGTAGACGTCAGTCTTATCACGTAGGTCCCTTTTGAAAATATTTTCCTGAGAATTATGAATACTTAGTATTGACTTCCTTACTTTACGGGCTTTACTTGCGTGAAGTCATTGGCGTCTTCTGATGAGCTGGAGGGCTCTGCCGATCCAAGTGAAGCATATCCCGTCTCTGAGTCACTTTTGGACTGCTTAGCATCGATTTCTTGCGCGTTGGAGGAACTTGTGCTGGTTTGATTGGGTACCGGCTCAGGTGTGTGCAGCCT